GCAGTAGCAGGAAAAGAACTTTTATATCGTTGAACGGTGATTTTTAAATAGCAAGATACTTTTATTTCACTGTTCATCTTTGAAACTTGAATGCACACATTGTTGCAGTCTATATTCTCGAATGCAACAACGATGGAAGCACTAATTCGAATGCAAAACATTGTTGTACGCGTTACTCTTCAATGCAACATTGCTTGAAGCGTTATATTTGAACGCAAACATTGTTGGAATCTCTATTTCCGATTGCAACATTATTAGAAGCGTTATTTCGAACGCAAACATCATTACAAGCACTACGCTTGAATGTAACATTGTTACAAGCGTCATTCTCGCTTGTAACATCGTTAATTCGTATTATTTTCGAATGCACATTGTGGCAAACGTGTTATCAAGTTTACAACATTGTTGCCGGGAATCGTTCCCTAAAAACGCACATTGTTTCACAGGGCACCGTTTTGCAACTTTGTTGCCGCGAGACGCTCCCGAAAATCGCACATTGTTGCAAAACGCGTTATCTGGTTTGCAACTTTGTTGTCGCGAAAATTGCACATTGTTGCACGACGCCCCGTTTTGCAACAATGTGCAATTTTCGGGAGCGGCTTCCGGCAACAAAGTTGCAAAAAGAGAGATCGCGCTTGCAACTTTGTTGTCGTGAGTCGCTCCCGAAAAGTGCACATTGTTGCAAAACGGGGCGTCGTGCAACAATGTGCAATTTTCGCGACAACAAAGTTGCAAACCAGATAACGCGTTTGCAACAATGTGCGATTTTCGGGAGCGGCTTCCGGCAACAAAGTTGCAAAAAGAGAGATCGCGCTTGCAACTTTGTTGTCGTGAGTCGCTCCCGAAAAGTGCACATTGTTGCAAAACGGGGCGTCGTGCAACAATGTGCAATTTTCGCGACAACAAAGTTGCAAACCAGATAACGCGTTTGCAACAATGTGCGATTTTCGGGAGCGGCTTCCGGCAACAAAGTTGCAAAAAGAGAGATCGCGCTTGCAACTTTGTTGTCGTGAGTCGCTCCCGAAAAGTGCACAATGTTGCAAAACGGGGCGTCGTGCAACAATGTGCAATTTTTGCGACAACAAAGTTGCAAACCAGATAACGCGTTTGCAACAATGTGCAGTTTTCGGGAGCGACTCTCGGCAACAAAGTTGCAAATGAGAATCGCGTTTGCAACTTTGTTGTTAAAAATCGCTCCCGAAAATGCACATTGTTGCAAAACGGGGCGTCGTGCAACAATGTGCAATTTTCGGAACAACAAAGTTGCAAACCAGATAACGCGTTTGCAACAATGTGCAATTTTCGGGAGCGGCTTCCGGGAAGAAAGTTGCAAAAAGAGAGATCGCGCTTGCAACTTTGTTGCCGTGAGTCGCTCCCGAAAATGCACAATGTTGCAAAGCGGGGCGTCGTGCAACAATGTGCAATTTTCGCGACAACAAAGTTGCAAAGCCGGTAACGCGTTTTGCAACAATGTGCAATTTTCGGGAGCGACTCGCGGCAACAAAGTTGCAAGCGCGATTGCACGTTTGCAACTTTGTGAAATGTACGTATTTTCGTTTGTAACGCTGTACAACATGCAAAACATTGTCGTATGCAGTACTTTATTCATAAAACATTGCCACAAGCATTTACTTGAACACTTGTGTTCAAATGAATAAGTGCTATGCCACATTTTCAACTTATTCATTTATGAATAACGCAGCTTGTACGAAAGCATCTGTATGGAAAATATATGCATTAACCGTGTTCCTTATTAAAATAAGTTTTGCACTAAGTAGTAATTTCATCCCATTCGAAATGAAATATACTTACGATACAATTGAAACCTCCCAAAGTGTTTTCTCTTCTCTCAAATAAAGTTACCAATCGAATTCTTAGAACCCTCCACCGATTAACCAGCAAAAACGGCACACAGAAATAATAATATCGAAGTTTTAAAACAGTACCGTTTATAATTCTTACCTATCTCTCGTACAATATCTTGAAGCAATTATCGCAAGCAAGTATCGAAAATATCAACTTTAAGAGTACCACCATTAATTATTTGCCAAGTGGTAAATACTAATGTCGCTTCTCAGTCGCCTCTCGAGTTCAAAGGGTTAAATTCTTGATGGCTAAATTGAAAATCGCGGGGATTGTGTGTGAATGTAGCATTGAGAAACGTGGAACATCTTTCTTCGCATTTTAGATGCGCTCGTAATGTTTCAAATTTAATTAAATTAATTATTTAAAATTTCAGATTATTCAGTTCTTCTATTTTGTAAATTATTCGTTTCAAATATTTCAGTTTATCGTATACACATTATTTCTATTTTACACTCATTATTCTTCTTTTCACGTTTCTTCCCTGAAAGGATTAGAAATTTTAATTTCTGTAATCCTTTGTGTTTCCTTTCTTTATTTTTGAAGCACAGGTAGAGAGATTTAAA